TTATATAATTTTGTAAAGAAATGTTAAAGAATTTGTAAATAAGATTTATATAATTTTGTAAAAAAATGTTAAAGAATTTGTAAATAAAGTTCTATAATTTTGTAAACAGAGAGTTAAAGAATTTGTAAATAAGACTTATATAATTTTGTAATAGAAATTTATATAAATTTGTAAATAAGAGTTATATAAATTTGTAAATAAGAGTTACATAAATTTGTAAATAAGAGGTATATAAATTTGTAAGTAAGTGTCATATAATTTTGTAATTAAGAGTTATATGATTTTGTAAATAAGTGTCATATAATTTTGTAAATAGGAGTCATATAATTTTGTAAATAAGAGTCATATAATTTTGTAAATAAGAGTCATATAATTTTGTAAATAAAAGTCATATAATTTTGTAAATAAGAGTCATATAATTTTGTAAATAAAAGTCATATAAATTTGTAAATAAGAGTTATATGATTTTGTAAATAAGCGGTATATGATTTTGTAAATAAGAGTTATATAAATTTTTAATAGAAAGTTATATAAATTTGTAAATAAGAGTTATATAAATTTGTAAATAAGAGTTATATGATTTTGTAAATAAGAGGTATATAAATTTGTAAATAAGAGTTATATGATTTTGTAACTAAGAGGTATATAAATTTGTAAATAAGAGTTATATAAATTTGTAAATAATAGTTATATGATTTTGTAAATAAGTGTCATATGATTTTGTAAATAGGAGTCATATTATTTTGTAAATAAGAGTTATATAAATTTGTAAATAAGAGTTATATAAATTTGTAAATAAGAGTTATAATTATAAAAATAGAAAAGAATAAGTTATATATACATAATAGTGGTTTGTGTAGGTGTTCTGAAATTCACTTTTGAAGCATTTTATCAGGTTTTTTTTCTCAAGATCAAAATGTACAGTTTTAAAGTGCAAGCGAAGAATTTTTGATCTCCTTTTTTCAATATATTCTTTCTCATATGACATTTTTAAACCAGAAAATTTCAAACTGTTCCTTTGTTTTCTGGCTTTTTAGGAGAAAACAGAAGACTATAGGGTTGTCATGGAACAGGAAATTAAGATTCTCAAGTGTACATGGGAACTTTATGTCTGCTCTTTGATCAAACATGCTCATATGGTTTTTGTAATATCTTTCAAAATTTACTCTTTTCCATATAAAACCGCTTCTTTTTTCACCATTGATCATAATGAGTTCCTTTAGTATCTTCAGAAAAAAATTCTTTACAATATAATATTAAGATGAAGTGGGAGAAATAAAATAGGTAGTTAATGGTGGATGTTCTGGATAAATTCACCCCAGCGTACACTGCATGGCGAGCGAGTGGAAAACCCAATTTTCCATTTTAATAATACCATTGCCCCTTACAATTTCCTTTATTGCACACTCCTTAATCTAGCCAATCAGAAGACCTGAAATCCTGTTTCATTTAGATCCACTGTTCTGTGAAAAACAAATTTCCTCCATTGCACACATCATAGTATAGGCAATTTTCATAAGCTTCAACAGAGCACTAGCACAAAATTAGTATGTACAACTTTATTTTCATTTCATTAAATAGAGTAATTTTGAAGGTTTTTAAGATAGGGAATACTCAGTCTCAAATTCCGTAAAAAGTAAGGCGCTGATATTTAAACCCTAGAAGAATTTACCTCATTGGACACTTCATACAGATGAAACTTCATTATGAATTAAAATACAAATTCACAAATCGATTCAAAACAGTGGGCTGATATTTAAACCCTATAAGAATTTTCCCCATTGAACACTTCATACAAACTAAACTTAATTTGATATACCAGTATAATATGTTATTATTGACATGGCTGTAAGGGCAGATAACTCAATATTAAACAATAATTAAAAACAGCTACGATGCTGGAAGCAAGGGGATAATTACTGTTTACAAAGCCTTTTACCTGCAAGGATACATTTAATCAAAATTGATACATAATACATATATCTAATTAAAGCAATCAAAATAATATCTGTAGGCTAGCCATGTATCAAAGTTGACAGTACACAATATTTAAACCATGTTGATTGAAGGTAATTAGGCTTAAAGACTACAGACTATAGTTAATTAATCTAATTTTAGTGTGCCTGGGAAGGGTTTGTTTCACCCTATCTTTCTCCCATTAGGCTTATTGACATAATCTTTTAGCAATCATTGATTTAGATAGGAGTGTTGGCAAAGGAGTGTGGGGCAATGTTTTTTTGGATTTTTGATCTGATTGATATTTGAACGTGTAGGCTTATGATGTACACCTAGTGACCTTTCCCAGCGCGATTATACCTGGAAACTTTTAGGTGCTTTTCATAGCTAACTTAGGCTGAGTTTTGATCACAAAATTTGCTACAGTTTACATTTTACATCTAGCTTCAGAAGGTTTGATCCATAGCCTGTGCTTTTTTTAACTGTTATTCACCCTTTCGCTGTCTAATACCTTGACATTACTAGACACTTTTCTTTTATCCAGTTAAAAAATGCAGTGGATTGATTGGATTGTAAGTAGAAAATCAGAGCCAATCAGAGCCGTCAAAATACACCCAGCCATGAGGTATATAGCCTTTCTGTCAAGGTCTCTGATTGGCTGTATTCACAAGCATAGAGTTCAATCAAATCACTGCATTGGCCAATTTCCATTATATAAAAAAGTGTGTAGTGCAGTCAAGGTATTAGACAGAGTTCTTGACATTGTGAACATGCACCGCACCTTTAGTTGATATCAAAATTATACATGGTCTCTGTTGTATAGTTTATCTGTAACAAGCAAGATGATGCGTTATCAAATATCACAGGAACTCGTTGAAGCTTACACAGAGATTATAAAACACATAAAGTTTTTATTTTTGATCGTGATTTATCGTCAACGAACATCCAACCTTTATGATAAAAACAAATGAAATGATCACGACTTCTAAAGACAAACAGTCATGCAAAATTTTCTCGCTATCAAGATTTCTTTCATGAATTGTCCCTTGATAGTCTCGCAGAATTTATCTTCGCGTTTTTTTTATGATTGTTGGTTTATCTGGAGTTTTGTTCGAATCCCGTCGGACCGCTGATAACGAGGCAAAAATATCAAAGCTAATCAAATAAACACTCTTCTTTCTAGTAAATGAGTTTAAACCATAAAGCGACTTGAATTGATTTCTTTAAGTGAAAATGTCAAAATTTCAGTTAGCGAAGATTATCGTAAAGGGAATTAGATAACTATTTTAAATTTTTAACTGAAAACAATGGATTAAAACTTTCAGACTGTTCCCGATTTTTAAGTATTTGTTGTTTTTGTACTTAAAGAGATTGTATTGAGCTTTTCTAAACTTTTTATGTCTATCGGGGACACTGATAGCATCAATTTACACCATTCCAATTGTTAGTCAGATGTCTGTGGTTTCTGCAATTCCATTAAAGCTAAGCGTTGCAATCACAAAGGTTGTTAGATATTATCAGCAGCTTTTGACATAGCTAATTCTTATAAAGTAGAGGGCAAAGTTCGAGCGAAACCATGGTATATACCAGTTATTAGATAAAATATTGGTATTGATTCAGATTGATTGATCCCCACCCCCCACCACAAGAAAATCATTACCTTGACAACATGTTGTATTTGACTAATAATCAAAAAAATATATTTCTATTAATTCCAATTGATATACATATGTAAATCAGGCAATGATCTTTTATATAAAAAGCCCTTCCTATTCTTTCCCCATCTTCATTTCCCCTCCCATTTTAACACCCTTTTACCCTTTTGAAAAAAAAAAGTAGTACCTGGACAAGAACAAACATGTATTTTACTAATAATCAAATAAAATGTTTGTATGTATAGAACCCTTTATATATATACTATATAAAACTTAATCTCCCCTTCTATTCTTAACTTATCTACCCATTTCCCCTACCAATCAATCCCCACCCATCAACCCCCCCATCTGTACCACCAACCCACCCACCATAAGTTAAGATTAATAACAACCCACACTTATATTACAATCTTGTAAATGCATATACATATGTATATCACCAATTATCTTTTATATAAAAAAAAAACTTTTGTTTCCGTCACAAAGTTATTGAACAAATTGTAAATTTATGATAAATAAATTGTCCTAATAAGGAAATGACAGAGAACAAAGAAATCCTGAAGAAATAAAGTGGGGTTTTGAACAACGAAAATAGACAGTATTAGCATAAAATCAATGAGAACAAAAGAAAATTGTAATTTTGTCTGATTTATGTAAATTTTTTAAAGATTATGCAGGAAATATCTGATTAAAAATACCAATAATTTGTCATCTAAGAAAAAGATATAGATTTATGGAACAAATGACATTTTTTTTATGTGAATACAGAGATTAGTAACAAAGATATTAATATTAAATATTAGAATATGATACATAAACTTTTCCTGTTGTTAGAGTGGGTTCGTCCTACTCAAGTCTTGCATGCATTCTGTTATTTGCATATTATAGCTTAGTCGATCCCTCTAATACAATTCAATCAAAAAGTAGGATGTAAAACTCCATTCATTTCATTTTTCTAATAGAATTCAAAAGACGTAAAGATTTATTTATAGGGAATTATAAAGCTGCGTTAAAGTGATTGTAAAAATGTAAATAATATACAAGTAAACAGATATAATAATTTGAAAATTTTGCACAAAGTGTTGGTGTTAACCACAAAGTGTTGGTGTTGACCACAAAGTGCCACATAGTGTTGGTGTTAACCACAAAGTGTTGGTGTTGACCACAAAGTGCCACATAGTGTTGGTGTTGACCACAAAGTGTTGGTGTTGACCACAAAGTGCCACATAGTGTTGGTATTGACCACAAAGTGTCAAATAGTGTTGGTGTTGACCACAACGTGCCACATAGTGTTGGTGTTGGCCACAAAGTGTTGGTGTTGACCACAAAGGGCCACATAGTGTTGGTGTTGACCACAAAGTGCCATATAGTGTTGGTGTTGACCACAAAGTGTTGGTGTTGACCACAAAGTGCCACATAGTGTTGATGTTGACCACAAAGTGCCACATGTGTGTTGGTGTTGGCCACAAAGTGTTGGTGTTGACCACAAAGTGCCACAAGGTGTTGGTGTTGACCACAAAGTGCCACATAGTGTTGGTGTTGACCACAAAGTGTCAAATAGTGTTGGTGTTGACCACAAGGTGTTGGTGTTGACCACAAAGTGTTGGCGTTAACCACAAAGTGTTGGCGTTGACCACAAAGTGCCATAAAGTGTTGGCGTTAACCACAAAGTGTTGGCCTGAACCACAAAGTACCACATAGTGTTGATGTTGACCACAAAGTGTTGGTGTTAACCACAAAGTGTTGGTGTTAACCACAAAGTGTGGGTATTAACAATGTTGTATAGTTACTAATCACATTGTGTGTGTGCTTACCTATTTTTTGGGTGTTAGCCACATCACATGGGTGTTAGCTACATCAGATGGGTGTTAACCATAATAATGGTGTGAGCGTAATACAAAATACGTGAGAAGATGACATAAATACAAGCATGACTATACCATATATTTTTCTTTTTGTTACACCAGATTGATTGAAAAATAACAAAGAAAAATTGGCTGATAATTGAATTTCTTTTTACACGTCAATGTTTCTCTGTTTTAGCTTTTTTCCGAATAGATTTAGGAGCATTAGACATTCTATTTTGTCGTCAGAATTATATGGAAAATAATTTGACAGGAAATACGAAACCAAACAAGGAATCCGAGAATGGAGGTTCGTTAATTAGATAATTAAAATGTGATACTTTGTTAGTTATCAGGTTAGAGCTAATATACGCATCTTGAATAATGAACACATTGCGTTATTGACATGTGTTTTCATCAGTTTAAGTGATGTATAGGTGACAGTTTTATCAACACTTCAGTAGCCTGGATTTTCCAGGTCTTATATCTTCCAGTAACTCATTTCAGTATCAATTTACCAAACCCAGATGTCCTAGAAAATGAGCTAAACCTTGCATTGCAGTATGTTCATCCGTTTTAGTGATGTCTGGGTGACAGTTTTGGCAAAACTTCAGTAGTCTGGATTATCACTAGCTGGTGCCCAGCCCCCATGGAACCCACTCTAACGACAGGGCAGGTGTGTTGGTTCGTCCTTGATGTTTTATTTAAAAAATTTTATCTGAAGCGAAAAGTTGTTATATTTTAACGCAAGCTCTCTTATTATCAATTGTTTCGGATCAATTTAAGAGATCAGCGAATGTCTACAAATTGTAATTTTTGACAGCTTTCCAACATTTAACAGACAATTTGGACAAGTCAAGTGACATAGGTTCATCTTGTTTTCATTATGAAGAGCTCTACCAACAATTAATCCTTCTTCGGTCAAATTCAAACCCATAGACTGACACTTCCAGCTTCCATTTGATTAAATGGTGTGTGTAATTTACAAACTTGCCAAACTTGCTCCAATGGCAAATTTCATGTGTAACTTTGCTTTGACTAAGCTCTAGTCTAATCTGGGGTCTGTTGTCCTAATTCAGGGACTTTTGTGTCTTTCTAGGGCAACACTTAATCCTTCTTCGGTCGAATTCAGACCTGTTGACTGAAACTTCCAGCATCTTTATTGGTGTGTGTAATTTACACACTTGCCAAACCTGCCCAGATGGCAAATGTGTAACCTTTGCTTCGACTTATGGTCTGTAGGTCCTTATTCATTGATGTCTGTGGGTTTTTATGGCAACAATTAAAGTTTGTTTGATTGACTTCAGACGGTAGACTCGCTCTATCAGCTTCTAAATGGTGTATGAAATTTACTGTTTGTAGTCTTGATCATGTGTCTTTCAATCATCTGTATACTTGTAGACTAGCACTTCCAGTTTCTTCTTAAATGCTTAAAGAAATTTTTCTGAAAAAATGAGCAGTCAGAATTAAAGTTTAATATTTCTTAAGGATGTTTGTAATTGTACCAAGACAGAACCCACACATGAAGAAATAATGAGACCTAGTTATTCAAGGCTACAATCAAGTTTCCAAACGTCCAGACAATTACATATGTAATTTGATAGAATGTGGTTTTAATTGCTAAGTCAATTAGTTGGAATAAGAAATTACATTGAAACTAATCCTAGTCTAGTCATTCTAAACAATCTCTTAACAAAAAGGAGACTCTTGGGTTATCTGTAGACAGATCAACAAGACTTAACTTAAAGATACTTTGTCATATATTCTATAATCAGTGTGTCTGGATGTTGAGGGCTTAATGCAGAGGGTGGAGCATCAAGACTGAAGTTAAAGGGATAGGTGCACAATTTTGATACCAATCGTACCTTAGTCTCAGAAAGGGGAATTTTTAGCAAAGCCAATCAGTAATAGTGTTCACAGCCACTGTTGAAATTTCAGCCTTCAAATCTATGTGTGTCGAGAATTATCTACATTTGAAAGTCAAAAAGATGGGTCAACTTTAATTGTGACTCATATATGAAAAAGATGTATAAAGAAATTCCTAGTTTGAGGTATTCTGAAGGAATTATGAGATTTTCATACATTTCTATTACTTCTGAAGACTATTTACATATATTAATGACTCAAATCAACCCTCCAAAATGGCGCACCTGTCCCTTTAAAGACACTTTGTCATATTTTCTATAATCAGTGAGCTTGCATTGGCTGACTTGTAAATAATTTGTAATAACTGGAAGACAGGGGGATGTTTTAAAAGGGTTAATATTATTTGCTGTTATTGCTAATAAGGCAACCAAACTTTTCAACATGGCTGACTTTCAGTGGTATGGGAGGGATATTTGTTCCTTTTTTTTTTTTTTTTTTTTTTAACAATATTTATTCCTTAATTACAAATAATACATTACATATATATCAACAACGGTTTCAGAGACAAGCTTGTATTAATCTGTTGCCATGGAGTGGTATTTTCTAAATTAACGCATGGGAGTTTTTTTTTCTCCTGACATTACCTATCAACCAATTAGAAGATTTCTCATTTGCTGAAAAAAAAATCACATGTCAAAACTTAATGAATAAAAGTTGACCTTTTCTTACCAATAACATCTTTTTTAATGACTTAGCATTGAATTAGCTTGATGAATGAAAGATTGACCTTTTCACTTCTGCTATTTCTGCCATTTTGTTATTTTTGACTTCTGCCCTTTCAGTTTCCCATTGGTCTCATGATGAAATATTTCTGTCTTTCAGAATATCTTAATCTTCAATCACCATTTGTTCTTGAAAAATTGTTCAAACTTTCACCCTTTAGGTGTAAATATTTCATTCATAAGCCGTTTTACGACATTTTTACGACATTTTTATGTCTTTTGCTAGCCTGCAACATTGAGATAATGTTCTTGCTTAAGACACCATTGAAGACGTGAGCATACAACTAACGACATTCCTGAGCTTGTTTAAAGAAATTTAGCTCGTAAAATTGTTTAATTGTACGAAAATGGTGTTATTTATAGTTCAAATACAATTCGGATTGTAAAATTTTTAATTTAACTAAAAATGGTGTGGTTTATTATTGTAATGAAACATTTTAGACTCTAATACAGTGTAAAGTTTGACAAATTAAAAATTGATGGATGCTAATTGTTTAATTAAAGGGATGGATATTGGTAAAAGCAGATGGGACTAGATGTTGTAGACAAAGGCATCAAAATGCAGCCAGTTATCTTTGAAAGGGTTTAAACGAGTGCATTTGGTCGCTCTGTCAGGGGTAGATGACAAGTTAACGTCTGTTTTCAGCTTTATATACTTATATTGCAGACTCATGCAGTCGGCTATCTTTTGAAGGGTGTAGACTATCTGCCTAAAATTATTGTCTTGTTCATATTCACACTTGTTGCAGGGGCTTTTTCTTCCCCCAGCTGGTCATGCTTTGGAATTTAAACATTACATCCTAGATCTCCAGCTAGACATGACTGGCTTAAACAGTCAAATCAGCAGCATAGAGGTCAAATCAACTTTGAAAAGCTTGAGTCAGACGTGACTGGTAAATAGTCCAAAACAGTCATGTGAACAACTTATAACTCTAGTCAGACATGATTGGTAAAAATACAAACTGGCAGCTATGAGCTCTTGTCAGACATGATTCTCAATTACAACCAAATCAACAGTCTAGAACTCGTCAGACATGATTCTCAATTACAACCAAATCAACAGTCTAGAGCTCTTGTCAGACATGATTCTCAATTACAACCAAATCAACAGTCTAGAGCTCTTGTCAGACATGATTCTCAATTACAACCAAATCAACAGTCTAGAACTCGTCAGACATGATTCTCAATTACAACCAAATCAACAGTCTAGAGCTCTTGTCAGAGATGATTCTCAGTTACAACCAAATCAACAGTCTAGAGCTCTAATGAGATACGACTGGCAAATACAACCAAATCAAGAGTCTAGAACTCTAATCATACACAACTGGCAAATACAACCAAATCAACATCCCTGAGTGATGTTATTTGAAATGATTTCTGTAATTCACCGTCAGCTAATCTTGGCTTAGAAAATGTGTTCAAGTAAAAAATAAATTTCCCTTTGAATCATTCATCTGAGATCTTGGAATGAGTTAAACCAATACATTAAACGCATTATTCTGAGTTGAAAGCTGAGAAAATGGGTTTTCAATTTACTTTCTGGGCCAATTTAAAGAACAGTGTAAACAGTATTCACATATTTAGCGCTTTCTCCAAATTTTCGATTTAATATTTAGATGTAGATTGAATTCTTTGAAGTTTGTTTTTTCTCCAGAAGGAAGTTGAATGCTACAACTGTTCCATGCCAATATTCTTAAATGATGGTGTATTAGGAATAAGGAAAAGGTCGGTAAAGGTCAGACTTAAAGGGAGTTAATCACATACTTGATTTTAAAGGAGCTAACTTATTAAAATGCTTCATGAAAGATGTATTAGTTATGTTCTTTAGGCCATAGTGGAAGTTGTGGTCTGTAGCCTTGATCTGATACAATTAGTTGTGGTCTGTAGCTTTGATCTAATACAATTAGTTGTGGTCTGTAGCCTTGATCTAATACAATTAGTTGTGGTCTGTAGCCTTGATCTAATACAATTAGTTGTGGTCTGTAGCCTTGATCTAATACAATTAGTGGTGATCTGTGGCAATTATCTAATTAAAGACGTTGTGGCCTGTAGCCTTTAACTAATAGAACTATGGCCTTTGTAACCTTAATCAAATAGAACTATTTTGGTCTATAGCTTTGAACTGTAGCCATTATGCAATAGAATGAATTGTGGTCTGTGACCA